TTTTCTTTTCTCCTCACCCACATCTTCTTTGTCATCTAACCAGGCTCATGGCTTTATATGTCATCTCTACACTGAAAACTCCCAGACGTGTATCTCCAGCCCAGACCATGGCATCTTCACATGCATATCTGAAGATGTCTCAGAGCACATCCAAACTGGACTCCTGATCTCCCCCCATTCCTCCAACCCCAAAACACCTTCACTCCAGTGTTCCTGATTTGTTTAATAGCAGTTTAGACCAAACCCCTTGGTATCACTTAATGCCACTTTTTGTTCCCTAACATCTATATCCAGTCCATCTAGGAAATTCTATAGGCTATACCGTCCATATATGTTCAGAATCTGACCACTTGTCATCACCTCCACTGCTACCATTCTAGGCCAAGCCATTCTCCTGTTTTTGGACTATTGAAAACCCTCCCGCCAGGCTCGGTGGCTCAGCCTGTAATCCCGCGCTTTTGGGAGGCTGAGGTGAGTGGATTGCCTGAGCCCGCGGGTTCGAGACCCGGCTGGGCAGCGATACCTCATCTCTACAATAAAAATCAAAAAAATCAGCTGGGCGTGGTAGCACATGCCTGTAATTCCGGCTAGGCGGAAGGATCGCCGGAGCCCAGCAGGTCGAGGCTGCGGTGGCCGGGAGTGGCCACTGCACTCCAGTCTGGGCGACAAAGTGAGAATCCAACTCAAAAAAAAAAAAAAAAAAGAAAGAAAAAGAAAACCCTCCCAATAGATCTCCCTTCCTCGTTGCTTCTCTCCCAAATCTCCCCCAATATAGCAGTCAGTGTGCTCTCTTCAAAATACAAGTCACATTAGGTTAAGTTTCTCCTACAGTCCCTTGGATAACTCTCCCTTACAGTCAGAGCAAAAGCCAGAATTCCTACAAAGGCTTTACAAAATCCTCCATGACTTGACCCTTTTGTCTCTCTTGATCTTGCTTCCTATAACTCCTTTCCTCACTATTCAGCTCCAGTCACACTGGTCATCTTCCTTGAATACACCAAGTGTATTCCAACCTCAGAAGTTTTCCCTGGCTGTTTTCTCTGCTGTTTCCTGGGCTGTGGGCACATATGGCCTTGAAGGTCCAAATAACACTGTTATTCAAAGTTATTTCCATCCAAAGTTATTGTCTGCCAGGCAGGCAGATGGAGCCATGGGTAAGTTCCAGGTGACCTTTGCACTCCACTCATTACTCTGACCTAGTAGTTTACAGACAGAACAAATACATGGAGTTGTTAGTGCTGTGAAATTTTCTAAGCCTCAGTGATCTAAGCAATAAAATAGAGAGATCTCCTTGCAAGATTCTTGTAAGAATTCAGCGAGAAAATGAAAGTGAATATATATAAAAAAGTGGTTTGAATATATGAAGTCCTAGATAAATATAAGCTGTTAGGTTATGATAACATTAGGAGAAACTGGGAGCATTTCATCCATGGGAAATTCCCTTTTTTACTTAGAATTATGCCAGTTGGTCAGTTTTCAGAGAACTCTGAAACTAAGGTTAGGATTAATTTCACTTTGGCTCTTAGCACATGCTCTAGTCTTCTCTTTTCTCTCTAGTATTAATAAATTATTATTTTCCAAAGAAGGAGAAACTTCTAGTAGCATCCTGACTCACAACATGCTGACACTACTTAATGAAGCAATTAGACGGAATCTTGCAACATATTGACTTCAGAAGCAGAATTTGGACTGAAAGGGCTCCTTTTTTGCTCTTGGTTTCCAAACCCATTTTCCTTGCTGCAGACTTTCTCAAGAAATTCTGAAGAGGAAAGCTGGGTTATGTGGCTCATGCCTGTAATCCCAGCACTCTGGGAGACAGGAGAGAGGACTGCCTGAGCCCATGGGTTCCAGACCAGCCTGGGCAACTTGGCGAGACCTTGTTTCTACAATAAGTCAAAAAAGTAGCCAAGCGTGGTGACACACACCTGTAGTTCCAGCTACTTGGAAGACTGAGACAGAAGGATCGCCTGAGTGTAGCAGGTCAATGCTGCAGTGACTGTAAGCATGCCACTGCACTCCAGCGTGGGCTACAGTGAGACTCCTACTCAAAAGAATTAAAAAAAGAATCAATCAAAAAATTAGCCAGGTGTGGTGGCGCATGCCTGTAGTTCCAGCTTCTTAGAAGGCTTTGGCAGAAGAATCACCTGAGCCTAGCAGGTCAAGACTGCAGTGGCTCTGAGCATGCCACTGCACTCCACTGTAGCTGGGCTACAGAGTGAGACTCCAGCTCAAAAACAAACAATAACAACAAAATGTAAAATAAAAAAATAAAATGAAACAAATTCTGAAGAGTTAATTAAAATGAAGACATACTGTCATGTGTTACTTACTAATGGAGATAGGTTCTGAGAAATGTATCCGGTGTGCTTACACTAGCCTAGATGGTGCAACCTATTACACACCTGGGCTATGTGGTCTAGCCTATTGCTCCTAGGCTACAAACCTATACAGCATGTTACTGTGCTGAACACTGTAGGCAGCTGTAACACAATGGTAAGGGTTTGTGTATCTAAATATACCAAAAGGTACAGTAAAAATACAGTATAAAGATTAAGAGTATACCCTTGGCTGGGCTCAGTGGCTCAGTCTGTAATCCCAGCACTTTGGGAGGCTGAGGCAAGTGGATTGCCTGAGAGTTCAAGACCATTCTGGGCAACTTGATGAGACCTTGTCTCTACAATAAATAAAAAATTAGCTGGGCATGGTAGCATGCGCCTGTAGTTCTGGCTACTTGGAAGGCTGAGGTGGAAGAATTGCCTGAGCCCAGCAGGTCAGTGCTGGAGTGGCCATGAGCATGCCACTGCACTCCAACCTTGGCAACAGAGTGACACTCCAACTCAAAAAAAAAAAAGAGTATATCCTTGAGTAGGACCTTGTAAATGGGGCTTACTGCTCTGGATGGATCAGTGAGTGAGTAGTGGGTGAATGTGAAGGTCTAGAATGTTACCGTACATTGCAGTGGTTTTTATAAACACTGTATACTTAGGCTACACTACATTATTTTTAAAAATAATTGTGCCACAGTATTACAACAGCTACATCACCAGGTAATAAAAATGTTTCAACTTCATTATAATCTTACGGCACCACAGTTGTATATGTGGTCCATTGTTGACCAAAATGTCAACAGCACTTGATTGTATATGAAATGAGATTTATTTTCTTGAACCTACACTTAGGTGAATATTTACTGTGACATGATGCCTATATTATAACTTTAAAAAAGTATTTTGATGAAAACAATTTCAGTATGTAGTTAGTTATACAACTAGCCATTTGAACATAATACTGTTTACCTGTACAATGTCCACATGTATACCTAAGCCTGAATTGTACCCCATATCTTTAAAATAAAATATTTTTAAAAGAATGAAAAAGAAAAATTAAAAATTAAATTTAAAAAAAGGTCTTTAAAAATTTTTTCTAAAAAACTGTAGTCTCAAAGTAATCACAATATTTATGATATTCTTTAATGTGGATTACCTCATTTGCATTGAGATGGATGGGCTTTATTTCCCCTACTAGATTATTCTGAGCAGAAAAGAAAGAGGAGGCTGGTATTCTCTTTGATATCCAGTACCCAAATCTGCACAGAGTAGGTACTCAAGCATCTTCAACTATTGAATTCAGATACAAGGTCTACAGGTGTGCCTTCTATTAATTCTTTGAGCTTCAGAAATCAAAGTTATTCAAAGCCTCCAATTGTTTCAATCTGTTTATATTAAATAGGAGGTAGGAAATTAAAGTCGTATCAGTTTTTGCTAATCAAATAATGTTTATTCTAAAGTTATCTAAAACCAATTTGCCTGTGACTCTAAGGAAGCTGAGTATCAAGTCAAATACCAAGACTCATTCATATCGCTAGGAGATAGACTGTGATTCATCTTTAAGATAACGTTCTAGTCAGGGGCAGTAGGAATATTGTGATACATTTCTCATGTTGATATTGAATTACATCCCAGCTTTAATGTGGGAATCCTCTCAGCATTTTGTTTACTGAAGCTCTGTAACCAACCAATAAACCAGACTCTTACTACTGATACAACCTCCTCTACCTACTACTGGTCAGGTTCTTACTGTACTTTCTTTTGGCAGCATGTTTCCATGTTAGCCACCCAGCCAAGCTGTGGGGATAGCACTTTATTCATCTTGCTTATTTTGGTGTCTCCAGACAGTGTGTCATATATGCAGGGGGTGCTCAATAAATGTTTGGGGGTTGATGTCTGAAGGATTGAACAAATAAATTTCTCAGCAAATGTTTTTGCTACAATCTTATTTATTTTTTGTCAGTTCATTTCCATAAAGAAGATCTTTATTCTTTAAAATAGGTATATTTGTCTCTCTGTCCCTCTATCCTTTCCCTCTCCCTCCTCCTTCTCTTCCCCCTCCTCCGTTTCTCCTCTGTTCCTCTTCCTCTCCCTCTTCCCCTCTATCTCAAAGTATACATCTCCTCACTTTGCAGTTCAGTCAAAACACAGGCAGTTTCCTCTCAGAGTGGAGGATACACTCTAAGTTTCTCAGCACAACTGAGAAGCTGACCGAGTTCAGCAAACTAAATACTTTCATTCACCCACTTGTAGTGCTAGTTTGTAGAAAATGATTAAGTGCCTGAGCAAGATACTGCATTTTAGCATTGCTTAGTAGGGTGATTGCTTCATGGGCAAATAAATTTCTGGTGTCCTGCCATTCTTTCTGGTGACTAAATTCACTCTCACCTTGTTGGAATAGCCGTAGATGTATGTATACATCTCAGTTGAAGCCAAGCAGATACAGTTAATAAGCCAGATGTTTAATCCCACAGTTGACAAAATTCTAAGATAGAAATACTGAGTTTATCAAGGTCACATTGTATCTCATAATGAGAGTTGGGGGAAAATTTGCATGTGTTCCTTCCCTATGGTCACTTTCTTGGCTCTGTTCTCTTGTTTTCTCATCTGTCCTGCCAAGTCTTCTTCCTCTGCCACATGACCAGTTCATTGCTTTCATCTCTGATGTTAAAGGTTTCCATTCCGATAACCGAAGGCCTGGACTTGATTTCCATGTTGACGGATGATGCTACAATTGCCACCTGGAATAATGAAGGACTTCCCAGTGACAGAATGTCCATTGAAAACGCCACTATCCTGACACACTGCGAGCGCTGGCCCCTGGTGATAGATCCTCAGCAACAGGGAATTAAGTGGATCAAGAATAAGTATGGAACTGACCTGAAAGTCACACATTTGGGCCAGAAAGGGTATGTGAAATCTGAAGGGACTGGCTGTCTGTTTAGCTGCTGCGAAGTGGGTCTGATTCTTACAAATGGGTTTGTCATTTGCTAGACCTCTCTATCACTTTGAAAGATTACAATCTGGTGCTGTTTATCTGCTTGTTCATGTTTCATATAAAGTATTTCTGTTGAAAGGGCATTTATACTAGGCAGCATCCAATTATCTCAAGCGTAAGGAATTTCTGTATTGCGCAGATAAATGTAGTCCTTGCTCATCTGAATACTTGGAAAAAATTATTTTCAGTGGGAAGAGACATTTTTTGGAGAGTGAGACTGAACTAAAATGATAGCTCACTATTTTTATGTGACTAAACTTAAAGATTAAAAAAAAACAAGTTTGATAAAGTCACAAAGGACTTAATATGTAAAGTTTTTCTTAAGCAAGACCCCATCAAATGAATGTTGACTATGGTTATTAAAAACAACTAATTTACACATGGACTTATTTGTTCAAACTATTAAATTTCACTTGAAAAATATATCTAAAATTTATCTCAAAATCGGATCTCTGATTTCTGTGTAATCTAGTTTTAAAAATATTACTTTATAAAAATCATTTTCTCTAAGTTTGTTCCATTTCAAATATCTACATTAAGTGTAATTTAATCATTATTTTAAATAATTTTGAGCATTTTTCCTGTTCTTATTTGCATTTTATTTTCTGAATTCTGACTGAATTTTAAGGTTTCTGAATGCCATTGAAACTGCTTTGGCTTTTGGCGATATCATCTTAATTGAAAACCTTGAGGAAATGATAGATCCAGTCCTTGATCCGCTGCTTGGCAGGAACACGATTAAAAAAGGAAAGTAAGTATTCTTGAATTTTTAACATGTATTTTATGCTCAGTGATTTTTGTCAGCAGCATCTATTCTTAGCCTCAAAATCAAGCACGACCTACTGGAATCTTGGTGGTATTTCTGAGTTTCCATTTCATGTACCTGCATTCCAAGACCAAAGCAGTCTCAACACAATCCTGACTTTCAGACTATTTGGTGGGTTTAAATTTGTTTCACCCACTTCCTGACTTATAGACCAGAAAACGTATGATCACAGATCTTATAACAGTTGCCGCTTTTAAAATTTATACAGATGTTTCTCTAAGTTTGGTAGTTTGCAAAAGATCATGAGCATGGTTGCCTATCTACACATCACTTGTGTGCTTGTTTGCTTAACTCATTTATTGCCACTGATATGAATTTACATCATTCCAAATTCTGTCTCTGGTTGCCACTGACGTGAATTTACCTCATTGTGGAACACTGCCATTTCAGATTTATAATCCAAATAAAAATATAAAGTATGGAATGCTAGTCAGAGTGGTATCTGAGACAAATATTGGGTATGTCTGCAACTTTCAGCTGTATTGAGAAAAAGGTGACAATTTAGAAAAGACCATTTCACTTGTGTTTAGTTACTAAAGTTTGAGGCAACCAGCCTCAGATTTTTTTATTTTCACCCGCTGTCAGTATTAGGAAAGTGAAAATTTTGCTGGTCACAAATGGTTAATACTTTTAAGTAGTTGTTTTGTTGTTGTTGTTGTTGTTGTTGTTGAGCCAGGATCTCCCTCTGTTGCCCAGACTGAAGTGCAGTGGCTCACTGCAGCCTCAAATGCGTGTACTCAAGTGATCCTCCCACCTCAGCCTCCCAAATGACTGGGACTACAGGCTCATGTTACTACAGTCAACTAATTTTTTGTTTTTTCGTAAAGACAAGGTCTTGTTTGTGGCCTAGGCTGGTCTTGAACTCTTGCTTAAGCAGTCCTTTCATCTCAACCTCCCAAAGTGCTAGACCTCTTTAAATAGATTTTTTTAATTCAATTATTTTTTTGAAAATCAGCCTCTACCTAGTGATAGATCCACAAAATTATGGGTTTACTGTACTAGCTCAATTTTTTCTAATATGCTTAAATACATATATAACTGGGCGCCGCCCTCAGGTTTCCTCCCACTGTGGGAGCTTTTCTGTCTTCTCAATAAATTCTGCTTTCTAAAAAACAAAAAATAAATATATAACCATTTGAAAAAAGAGAAAATCCATTAATGGGTCCCCGAAATCATCCCTTATACCATTAATGTTGATTATTATCAACAACAGGGAAACATACCTATCACACCGAGCTATAAAGGGAGGGACAAAAAAAAAAAATCCCCCAAAACTGAATTATTTTTGGAGCGTGGGCCTCTTATAGTACAGGCTTCCCCTGCTAAGTATGTGTTCTAGGAACCCATTGACATCTACCAGCTAGCATTTTTTGGGAGAGGCTACATTCAGCTTCAGTGAATTTTTTTTAGAAATACTTTCAATACATTTGTTCCTTTTATGATGGGTAATTTACAAGCACACCTGCCCACATTGCACTGAGTGTTCAGCAGTTTTTTACCAGAAAAGGCATGACCTCCATCCCCCACCTTCCTTATTCACCAGATCTCACCTGAGCGACATTTTTTTCCCTCCATGAAAAGAAATCCTCAAAGGGAAACATTTTGCTGATGTGAAAGAGGTGGAACAAAAATGGCAGAAACGCTAAAACGTATCAAAACTGACGAGTCCAAAAACTGTTTTGAGCAGTGGAAAAGGCATCTTGATAATAAATTCGATTTTTTGTGGGAGTCCTCCCTTGTATGTGACTTTCCATGTGGCTGCCATTCCCCTTGGGACACTGTGCTTTCTAGAACATTCTCCCAGGAACATGGAAACTATTTCTAAGGCGTCATCACTTTTCTATAAATGTATAAAAGGTCAGATGCAGCAATTATGTCTTTAATCAAGCCTCAGTGGGCCCAGGGGAGTCTATGACATTCCAGAAGCCCATGTGCTGAACTTCTTCACCAAGCAACCAACTTTCATTAGACTTAGTTTACTAGATTTCCTTCTCTCTCTTTTTTTCTTTACAGAGGTATAATTTCAGAACTTCCCCAACCCTATTCTTTCTGAACACCCACTCTCTGTCTCTAAGATGTCTGTCTCCTTTTTCACGGCTAGATTGTTTCTGTCAATTTTAAATAGAAATAGGGCTACATACGGGTGACTAACTTCTTAGTCTCTAACTGATTAATATGGTATTTATTATACAACTCACCAAGTAAATCCACTTAGAGTGACTGACAACTTATAATTGTTTAATAAACCAAGATTTACCCAGACATGCATTTAGAACAATCTAATAAGCCACTTGACAGACTACAACTCTTAGCATAAATATAATTGTAGTGGTGTCTGATGCGTTAAAAAAAAAATAGTGTAAAATCTTCAGTGTCACTAAAGTGAAATCCTTATTATTAAAGTTCTGACTCTATAATGAAGACCTAAAACTTTTGTCAGTGAAATGCATATTCTCTGAGCTTTAACTTACTTTCAATAGCACAGTTTAGGTATAAGCAATTTGACAGCTCTTATTACACATATATTTAGATAATCTGAAATTTCCAAAGACTGATAAATTTGAGTCACGTTTTTTTTTCTCAATATGGATATAATTAGGTATCAGTGAGGATTCCAGAGGTCTTTAATTTTAGAAACAAATTTCACATACAGCAGCAAGTCTTTTCTGTAAAATATCAAACCAGGGCCGGGTTTGGTGACTCAGCCTGTAATCCCAGTACTTTGGGGGGCCGAGGCGAGTAGACTGCCTGAGCCTGAGGGTTCGAGAAAAGCCCATACTACTTGGCGAGACCTCGTATCTACAATAAATAAAAAATTAGCCGGGTGTGGTGGCATGCGCCTGTAGTTCCGACTACTTGGAAGGCTGAGGCAGAAGGACCACCAGAGCCCAGCAGTTCGACACTCTGGTGGCTGTGAGCATGCCACTGCACTCCAGCCTAGGCAGTGGAGTGTGAGAATCTGACTCAAAAAAAAAATCAGGCCAGAATGATTTATTCCAAATTAATATTTACTGAATATATACTCTCTGTTAGACCTTGTAGAACTGATCGTATCATTCTAGCATTTTTGTTTGTTTGTTTTGAGTCAGTCTTACTCCGTCGCCCAGGCTAGAGTGCAGTGAAACTCACGGCCACCCCAGCGACAACCCGCTGGGCTCTGGCAATCTTTCGACCTCTACCTTACAAGTAGCCGGAATTGCAGGCCTGCGCTACTACACCTGGCTAATTTTTTGATTTATTGTAAAGATGAGGGCTCACCAAGTTGCCCAGGCTGTTCTTGAACCCGTAGGCTCAGACAATTCCCTCACCTTGGCCTCCCAAAGTGCTGGGATTATATGCTTGAGCCACCACAACCAGTGGCATTCTTATAAAGTCAAAATAAATTTAAATGATCTGTAAGAATACATAGCAAATGGTGTTGACTGCATGAGGTTATTACCTTAACAATCCCGGCTCCTCAACCTTATGTATCAAAACAACCACTTGTTTAAGGGTGAATTTCACATCTATATCTCTAGCTTTTTTCCACTTCCCTCTCCCATGCAGATGTTTTTAGAACATCTTTTACCAGATGCCAGCAGAGTTTTTATATATCCTGTCAGGCACTGAACAAACCTTCTCTGAGCACTGCTCTATGCCAGAACTGTACTGAGGCATGAAGATTTAAAGTGTGATAAGGTTCAGATCCTGTTCTTAAGGAAGCTACAGTTCCTTAGTGGAAGAGAGACCTCTAGACAATCAAAGTAAAGCAGAGCCATTGGTGTGATGATCAAAGGATCCAGTGGAGACTTGGATGTTTTATGGCCAAAAATTATATTTGATTGCATGTATATTTAGTGCAAGGATCAAAGGATAAATGTGTGTTGGTCAAGTAGACAAACAGGAAAAGAATCCTAAACAGAGAGACCTAATACCAAACAGCAAAACACACAAGCTAGCCCAACAGCCTTGGAGAATGGCAAATAAAATTCAAATAGTGAAGAAACTGTGTTGGAGAGGAAAAGAAGGGAATGGGAGAGATGAGACTGGAGAGGAGAGCAGGACCCAGACCGTGGACTTCCTTTGTTGACCCCTAGGATGGTCTTTTCCTACAGGCTGCTAATTTCCTACCTGCCCCCAAACACATTCAAGGGGCCTGTTCCTATAGTTGCGCTTGTTGACAACAACAATTGTTCTTGACCAAAGAACCATTCCTTCCTGGATGCCTTTCTATATTTTCACTTGAGAATCGTAAGCATAAGTCAATGGCGAAGCTAGTAAGGACTCTTTTTTTTTATAATAATTATTTTTTATTATGATATTGTGGGGTACAGTTAAGGGTTAGGTATACAAATATACTTCGTTCAGGCACCCTTGTTGATAAGAGGTGTCTCCCGTCCCCAGACAGATATTTACTACCGTTAATCCCATCTCCCTTCCCCTCCCCAGTCCCATAGTTTCCCACCACTGTCAGTTATTTTCTTATAGTATTATGTTGGATATTCAAGGTCCACTATATGAGTGAGAACATGTGATACTCAGATCTTTATTTCTGTGAGAGGTCACTCAGTATTATAGACTCTAGTTCCATCCAGGTTGTTGCGAAATTCATGATTTTGTTCTTTTTTATGGCTGCATAGTATTCCATCAGAATGTGATCAGATTTATGTTTCCGAAAGGTCCCAACTGACAGTGTGAAGTATTTACCGAAGGGTTGTGAACCTAAAGCCAGAGTCCGGTTCTTGAGCAATGGCAGTAACCCGATTGAGCATGATATGAGCCTAAACAAAGGCAGTCATGGTGAAGATAGGGGAAAGGATGAATCAAAAGTGATACCAAGGAGCTAATAGCACCAGCTCACAGTTAATAATAGAATATGATTGATGGGGGAAAGGAGGGATCAAGGGTGATTTCCAGGCTGGGCGTGGTGGCTCACGCCTGTAATCCAAGCACTTTGGGAGGCCGAGGTAGGGGGATTGCTTGAGCTCAATAGTTCAAGACCAGTCTGGGCAACAGAGTGAGACCTTGTCTCTACAAAAAAAAAATAAAAATATTAGACAGGCGTGATGGCACATACCTGTAGTCCCAGCTACTCAGGAGGTTGTGACAGCAGGAACACCTGAGCCCAGGAGGTCAAGGCTGCAGTGAGTCTTGATCACTACTGCAATCTAGACTGGGTCATAGAGTGAGACCCCAACTTAAAAAAAAAAACAAAAAACGAGGGAGGTGATTTCCAGTCTTCTGTCAGGTAAGTGATAGTGTGATTTGTGGAGAGATATATTATAGGAATAAGAGTAAGTGTAGGGAATGAGGTAATGATTTGTCTTACTAGACATTCAAGAACAAGGTACTTCTTTAATACTCACTTTTAAAAGAGAAATCTAAGAGCAGTTAGACATGTGAGCTTAATGAAAGGATCCTGGTTCACCATGTAGATTGGAGAACATCTGAATAGAGAAGTAGTTAAGTCATTATGGCAGATGTGATCATCTAGGGAGACCCTATATAGTCAAAAGAGCACAAAGTACCCTTTGTTCACAGATGAAGAAAAGAAAATGGGGACCGATAGCTTAATGTCCTCTTGCATGTCCTATAACTATATGAAGTTTATTATGTGAAAACCTAGTATTTTAACTAGCTTTTTCTCTTTTGTGTGTGTGTATTTTTAGTTGATACACCATCGCTGTACATGTTTATGGGGGGTACATGTGATATTGGATGCATGCATACCATGTATGATGATCGTCAGAGTAATTGGAATATCCATCATGTCAAATAGTTATCTTTTCTTTGTGTTGGGAACATTACAATTCTTCTCTGCTACTATTTTGAAATACACAATAAACTATTGTTAATTATCTTTTCCCTACTGTCCTGTCAAATTCTAGAACATAGTCCTTCTATCTAGCTGTAGTTTTGTACCCGCTACCCTGCTTCTTGTCATGTTCCCCCGCCCCACTTGCCTTCTCAACCACCCTGCTACCTTCATGAGACCCACTTTGTTTTTTAGCTTCCACAAATGAATGAGAACATAAGATATTTATCGTTTTATGCCTGGCTTATTTCACTTAACCTAATGACCTCCTGCTCTGTCCATGTTGCTGCAAATGACAGGATTTAATTCTTTTTTTAAGGCCAAATAGTATTCCATTATGTATACATATACACATACCATGTTTTCTTTTCTTTTTTTTTCTTTTTTTTTGTTTTTTGAGTTGGAGTCTCACTCCATTGCCCTGGCTGGAGTGTAGTGGAATACTCACGGCCACCCCAGAGTCAACCTGCTAGGCTCCAGCAGTCCTTCTGTCTCAGCCTTCCAAGGAGCACGAACTATAGGTGCATGCTGCCACACCTGGCTAATTTTTTTATTGTAGAGATGAGATCTTGCCAAGTTGCCCACGCTGGGCTCGAACCCTCAGGCTCAGGCCTCAGCCTCTCAGAGTGCTGGGATTACAGGCTGAGCCACTGAGCCTGGCCACCATGTTTTCTTTATCCGTTCATTTGTTGATGGACACAGGTTGATTCCTTATCTCGACTATTGTGAGTAATGCTGCGGTAAACATGGAATGCAGGTATCTCTCTGAAATACTGATTTTCCTTCTTTTGGATATATACCCAGTAGTGGGATTGCTGGATCATACTGTAGTTCTACTTTTAGTTTTTGAAGTAATCTTCATACTGTTTTCTATAATGACTGTACTAGTTTTACATTGCCACCAACATTGTATTAGCATTCCCTTTTCTTCAGATTTGTTATTTTTTAAATGTTAGAATAGCCATTCTGACTGAGGTGAGGTAATATCTCAGTGTGGTTGTGATTTGCATTTCCCTGATGATTAGCAATGTTGAACATTTTCTCATATACCTACTGGCCATTTGTATGTCTTCTTTTGAGAAAAGTGTATTTAGATTTTGTTGCCCATTTTAAAATCAGATTATTTGGATTTTTTTTATTACTGGGTTGTTTAACTTTCTTATATATTCTGGTTTTAACCCCTTGTTGAATGGGTAGCTTGCAAATATGTTCCCTCATTCTGTATGTTGCATCTTTGTTGGTTGTTTCCTTTGCTGTGCAGAAATTTTTCAGTTAATCCCATTTGGCTGTTGTTGCTTTTGCTGCCTGTGCTTTTGAGGTCTCAAAAAATCTTTTTTACCAGCTTTTTCAAGTAAATCAGCACTACCATCTTTCAGTAGAGTTCTACAAGAAACCTTGTATATTTTCCTATCAATTTTGGAATCTACAATTTTCTTATCTATGCCTTCCATTGTAGCCCAGGTCTTCTGTTTCTTCATGCTGACTGAAGTACCCTCTTCACATTCTTTCTCTGTTCATTCTTCTCCAACCCAGAGAGCAGCGAAAATAATCTTTTCTAAATTGCTTCTATGATCCTCCCCTGCTCCAGATCCCTCTAAGAATTCTATCTTGGCTGGGTGCAGTGTCTCAAGCCTGTAATCCCAGCTCTTTAGGAGGCTGAGGCAAGAGGATTGCCTGAGCTTGCGGGTTCAAGACCAGCCTGGGCAACATGATGAGACCTAGTCTCTACAACTAAAAAAAATGGTAGCCAGGCGTGGTAGCACAAGCCTGTAGTTCTGGCTATTTGGAAGGCTGAGGTGGAAGGATCACCTGAGCTCAGTGGGTTGACACTGGGATCACTGTGAGTATACCACTGCATTCCAGCCTGAGTGATGGAGTGAGACTTAAAAATAAAAATTGGCTGGGCTCAGTGGCTCAGTCTGTAATCCCGGCACTTTGGGAGGCTGAGGCGAGTGAATTGCCTGAGCCTGCAGGTTTGAGACCCACCCGGAAAACTTGGCAAGACCTCCTCTCTACAATAAAATAAAGATAAATAAATAAATAAAATAATTCTATCTTGTCTATTACATGAGTTGGATTGAGGCTTTTCTGTGAAACCTACAAGATGCTTTACTTGTTAGGTATGTCTGCAATTTGTTTTACCAACCTCATTTTTCATTATTTCTTCACACAGATAATCTCCCTCCTGTGATATGCTATTTTACTTTTCATAAATCCCAAATTCACTTTATTCAGAATTCAACTGCTATTTGGTCAATAGCAGTTAAATGTTAGATTCAAATGGAAATTTTAATTTTCTATATTTAATGTCTCCCACACATAGTACATTCCATCCTGTGTCATTTTACCATTTTTTCTCCCCCTTACACTATACTTAATTTTTTTACTCATACATATCCGTAATTGATTACAATTTCTTAATGGATAAGAATCATATACGATAAATCTTTTAAAAAATAATCCAAGGACCCGCTAACATGGGCCGCATTCGAACCAAATCCATAAAGAAGGTGGTCCGGGTCATTATTGAGAAGTACTACACGCGCCTGGGCAACGACTTCCACACAAACAAGCGCGTGTGCGAGGAGATCACCATTATTACCAGCAAGAAGCTCCACAACAAGATAGCCGGCTATGTCACGCATCTGATGAAGCGGATCCAGAGGGGCCAGAGGGGCCTGGTGAGCGGCATCTCCATCAAGTTGCAGGAGGAGGAGAAAGAAAGGAGGGACAATTACGTTCTGGAGGTCTCAGCCCTGGATGAGGAGATCATTGAAGTAGATCCTGACACTAAGGAAATGCTGAAGCTTTTAGACTTTGGCAGTCTGTCCAACCTGCAGGTCACTCAGCCTATAGTTGGGATGAACTTCAAAACATAAGGAGCTGTTTGAGTCTTTCTGTGATGCCTTAATATTTTCAATAAACCTGGGCCAAAAAAAAAAAAGTTGGTTAACCAAACTAAAAACAGAATAATATAAACATAAATGTTTATATCCGGCACAATGGAATATATGTGAACACTGAAAACAATCCAATAAATATGTTATTTAAAATATGAAAAGCACCTTTTGAAATGTACTACTAGGTTGACAGAAAAAGTGTGTCCCAAAAGCAGTAACTAAGAAAGACAAGGCTCACCAAAGCAGGTTTCCTTCCTGAGGATACCTGCTAAAACCTAATGATCTTGGCTTTCTATTTTGATGGACAAGCCTAGGACCTATTCAGAGTGTGTGTAGTCTACAAAGAGATCCCTGTATAAAGCTGGAGGACACATCTTCTGTTTAGTATAAACTTGTTAAAAATAAATACATGAAAACCAGTGCTGTATCAAGGACCTTTCCTTTTTCTACCTTGGCACTGAGAAGAAGCAGAAAAATATTCTGAGAATTCTTACTTAGAAACCATCTCTTTTATGAGTGTATAGGATGAATTTCACAGGATATTATGCCCTGAAAACATTATGCTAATAATTTATTTTAAAGTACCCTTGGAACCAGGCGCAGTGGCTCACGCCTGTAATTCCAGCACTTTGGGAGGCTGAGGTGAGAGGATCGCCTGAGTCTGGGGGTTCGAGACCAACCTGGCCAACTGGGTAAGATCTCATCTCTACAACAAATCAAAAAATCAGCAGGGTGTGGTGGCACATATCTGTAGTTCCAGATACTTGGAAAGCTGAAGTGGATGGACCGCCTGAATCCAGCAAGTCGAGGCTGCAGTGACCGTGAGCGTGCCACTGCACTCCAGCCTGGGCAACAGAGTGAGAGACTCCGACTCAAAAAATAAATAAAGTGCCCTTGGGTTGGTCATACTCCAATGAACTTGGAAGAAGCAGACACAAATTCTGTCTGGAATAGTGTAATAAATCCCAACCTTAGAGCATTACCAAAGATATAATTTCAGAGAACATGAACTCACAAGTAAACGTCACAAAACAAAGGAAACAAGGCAGCATGAGCAAGAGTCAATAGAACAGAATCCTTTTCTCATGTCTGCTTTTTTTTTTTTTTTTTTGAGTCAGGGTCTCACTCTGTCACTCAGGCTGGAGTGCAGTGGCACAATCATGGCTTACTGCAGCTTCAACTTCCTGGGCTCAGGTGATTCCTCTGCCTCAGCCTCCTGAATGACTGAGACTATAGACATATGCCACCATGCCCAGATAATTTTTGATTTTTTGTAGAGATGAGGTCTTGCTGTGTTGCCTAGGCTGGTCTTGAACTCCTGGGTTCAAGCATTCCTCCTGGACCTCTCAGAGTGCTGTGATTACAAGCATGAGCCACCACACCTGGCCATTTCTGCTTTGTTTTGTATTTCTTTTATTGTTAATAAGAATTTGCTTATTAGTCACTCATAATTCTCATTGCATGAATTGTCCATTGTGAAGTTTTGCCAAGTTTTTTTCATTAGTTTCTCATTACATTCTTCAACTCCTCTATTTTTTCCTGCATTCATTGTACTTTTTCTTGTTCTTCAACATGATTTTGAATATATTTTTTATTTAAACATGTACCTTCCCATCATTTCCATAGGATTTGTCATGGGAAGGAAGGTTGTTACAATGCTCAACCCACTGTCTTAAACTAGATACATGTACATTTTCCAGAGAGACTTTTAGGACTCTGAGGCAGGGCTTATACATTAGTTCCTTTTTATTAGAAAATAGCGTTGAAGTAGAAATAAGATGAAACTTGGCTCAAATCTTATTCTGCTACATTCTATTCTGGTGATTTGGGATGAGTTATTTAACCTGTTTTTCTATGCTTAGGTTTTCTTAACTGATAAGGGAAAAAATACAAGTCAGGCAGAGTGGTGTACAACTGTAGTCCCGATTACTCAGGAAGTTAATGGTGACAGGATCACTTGAGTTCAGCCTGGGCAACATAGCGAGACACCATCTCTTTAAAGAGCACAATATATTTAGATGTTCAGTATATATCATTTCCCCTGAAAATTTAACTGATAACAGGTATAATATGTGAGTGGTTGGAAGCATGAACCAGATGCTAAACCAGGGGCCCTTGTAAGACATTGTCTTTTGGACACAGGAAGTGTGAACGGGTCATGAGTGGAGCCATGAAGCAGATCATGAAGGTGGGGTGGGGGAGGAACAGCAGGGAGTTGCAGAAGGGAAGGAATCAGTCACATCCTTGAATATTTTAAGTTTAAGGAGTAGAGGTTTTGTTTTTGCTTTAATTTTATAATCTAATATTTATCCGTATAAATATATATACAAGTTATAAAGCATAATAATAAATTAGACATGCATCTACCATTCAGGTTATTACCAATATTCTAGAAGCCACCTTTGTGCTTCTTTTCTCCATTTTCATTCTATCTCTTCTTCCAAATGTCATCCATATTCATATATCAGAATAATACTATCTGTTCTATAAGACCTAGCAGAGTGGACATAGTAACTTTATTTAATATGTTTAATTAAAAGACAGGCAAACTATCAAAATAGCTGTTTCTCCAAAGAAAATATACAAATGTCCAATATGCATGTTAAAAATAAAAGATGCTCAGCGTCACTAGTAATCAGTGAAATGCATATCAAAGTCATAGTAAGGTGAAGATTCTGACTTTTGCTTATCATTTTCTTTGAAATAGTTTTATCATATCATATATGCATATTCCTAAACAACAGTTTGCTTTGGGGCTTTCTAAAAACATCATCATCGTGTATATAGTTTAAGGGAATTGCTTTTTTTCTCAATATTATGTTTCTAAGATTTTTCTATATTGTTGCTTTTCATTCTAGTTCTTTTATTTGTATTACTATAATATTCAGTGGTGTGGCTGTTTTTCTATTTAACATTCTTATTGAAGGACATTCGGGTTATTTTTAGATTTTTTGGTATTCTAAGCCAAACTGCTGTGGATATTACAGAGTATTCACATACACATCTACAAGCACACAGCAAGAGGTTCTCCAGAGCTTATACTCCAGGGTAGAATAGTTGGGTTGGAGAGCATATTCACAATTAGATTTAAAAGATGATGCTTATTGTCTTCCAGTGTGTTTACAAATTACAAATGTACATGCTTACTAGTAGTGGATAAGAGTGTGGAGCCTTTCCGAGAATTGAGTAAGGGATTTTTACTCATCTGTAGCTTTTTTAATCCAAAAAATTTCTGTATTTACTGCTATTAACCATCTCTTCCTATGAGAAGCTTTTCCCACTTCTTACCTTTTTTCCCTCTTCTATGTTTGAATTAAAAACATAGTTTTTAAGTTTTCAAAATAGTTTTGTTATAAAAGCTTTAAAAGGTACGATGACCACTTAGATACCTAATCCTGAATTGTACCCCACATCTTTAAAATAAAAAAATAATAGCCGGGCTCGGTGGCTCAGCCTGTAATCCCACACTTTGGGAGGCTGAGGTGAGCGGATTGCCTGAGCCCGAGGGTTCGAGACCCGCTTGGGCAACTTGGTGAGACCTCATCTCTACAATAAATCAAAAAACTATAAAGCTACAATCATCAAAACAGCTTGGTATTGGTACAGGAACAGGTATATAGATCAATGGAGCAGAATTGAGATTCC